GCATCCCTGCTTTCAGGGTAATGAAGCCCCCAGAATATGAAGACAAAGTCACAACAACCCTAAGAAATGAATTTTAAAAAAACCCACCCACTCAGCAGCACCTACAGCTTACAGTTTTTGTCAACAACTTCCTTCACATTAAATATAAAGCCTAAGCTGTCAGGTGTTTCCATGTACTGCCCTCACTATGAGGTTGGACATACAGCACAGGATTATGTTCAAAATTGCAATTTTTCCTCCCAACACCAGCGCAGCCATGCAGTCAGATACCACAGTTCCCACTGAGACTTGTGGAATTTCTCATGTCACCAAAGCTTTAAAACACCTAAAATATTCGAAAATGCTGATGAATCATCTCAAGTTTGTTTTTAATCCAGCAGGTACAAGTGCACAGAACAGGAAAAAGCTACAATTAACTTGTCTGTAATTCAGCAATTCTGCTTTAAGTAACTGAAGCTGCAGAAGTATTTCACTACTTTGCCTAGTATGTTGCAAAGGAGCTTTATTTAAGCCACATGCTTCAAGCATCTCTCATTTCACAGTTGCAGTGTTTGTGCTGTTGGTGCCAGAGACGATTTCCCCTTTGATTCCCCAAAAATGTTTCCTCATTTTTGAAATGCATAACCTGACACAGTACATGTGTTCAGCAAGTACCATTTAACGCTATGCTTTCTACCGTATGCACACATGGCAGGCTCCTCCAGTCTCTCCAGAAACCAGCATGCTAGTGTCTGGTTATGATTAATACTGCCTATGAGTAATGCCACATGTTAACAATTCTGTCCTGCTCATGACTCAGTCTGCAGCTGGAGTAAGTGTACAAAGAGCAGATGAAGCTAGCATCAGACTTTGGTTAACGAACAGGTTATCAAGTGCCACGGGTTTGGTTTAGAGCCAGTGGCAACACTCTGCTTTGCCACGTGGGCAAGGGTGAGGGTTAGAAAGCAGTTTTCCTCACTTTCCTGTGGTAGCTGACTGCTTGAAGACATCTGTACTTTTTTTTAAACAAAGGTTGGTATGCAGTAATACTGTGTTAACCAGCAAAGTAAAAACATCCTGCACAGGAGTCATTAACCTTCCTCAGATGTCCCTGTGAAGGCCTCCCAACAGTTTCTGGATGAATAATCTTATTACAGGACAGAAGAAAGTAGAAGTCTAATCTTCACAAAGCCTCTTAAGGCTCCACTTGGAGCAGGTACTCCCCAAGGGACTACAGTCTGTGGCTAAATCCAAGAGCAGGGGCAAGGGGAGGAGTTCATTGCAATGTTAAACCCGATGGTCTGGGGTGAAGAGATTGTAATGGAAATACCTTTAAATTGTTGTAACCTGAGATTTGAGTTGCATGTTACAGGAATTACTATAGCAGGAACCCCTTGTTGCTAGCCAGGCAAGGAGAAGGGGAGGAGTTCATTGCAATGTTAAACCCTATAACCTGGCCAAAAGGGACCAGGGGTGGAGATTGTAATGAAAATACCTTTAAATTCTTGTAACCCCTGATTTGAGTTGCATGTTATAGGAATTACAATAGCAGGAACCACCTGAACCAATGGAGGACAAGCCTTACAAGAAGCAGCAGAAGTGCATCAGTGACCTGACCTGAGCTGGCTGTGGTGCCCAGTAACTCCATGCAACACACCTCTCCTGTCCTGAGTGACCACCATAACATATGGAGCCCAAAGTTATGGACTAAGTGAACTCAATGGACATTCTGTGGACATTTTTACTGATGTTTTATAGGGGTGCTCCATAGACTAAAGGAATGATACCTGTGTTACTGTATCAAAGTATGGGAAGGGCAGGGGGGTGGGGGAGGTGGTTAATGAAGTTGTATTGGATAGTGTGGGACCTAGGCATGATGTAAATTGTACGAAATAAGGGGTGGAGAATGTGCTGGTTTTGGCCAGGGTAGAGTTAGTTTTCTTCATAGTAGCTAGTATGGGTTAAATTTTGGATTTGCACTGGAAACAGTGTTGATAACACAGGGATGTTTCAGTTACTGCCCAGCAGTGCTTACCCAGAGTCAAGGCCTTTTCTGCTCCTCACCCCACCAGTGAGTAGGCTGGAGGTGCACAAGAAGTTGGGAGGGGACACAGCTGGGACAGCTGATCCCAACTGACCAAACGGGTATCCCACACCATATGATGTCATGCTCAACATATAAAGCTGGGGGAAGTAGGAAGGAGGGGATGTTTGGAGTGATGGCATTTGGCTTCCCAAATAACTGTTCCACATGACGGAGCCCTGCTTTCCTGGAGATGGCTGAACACCAAAAAGAAAATCCTTGTTTTGCTTTGTTTGCATGTGCAGCTTTTGTTTTACCTATTAGAATCATAGAATCATTTAGGTTGGAAAAGACCTTTAAGATCATCCAGTCCAACCATTAACCTACACTACCAAGTCCACACTAAACCAATCAAGGGTAGACTAGACTAAACCATGTCCCGAAGTGCCACATCTACACATTTTTTTTAACACCTCCAGGGATGGTGACTCCCCCACCTGTCTTTATAAACTGTCTTTATCTCAACCCATGAGTTTTCTCACTTTTACTCTTCCAATTCTCTCCCCTATCCCACTGGGGGAGAGTGAGCAAGCACCTGTGTGGTGCTTACTTGCCAGCTGGGGTTAAACCACAGTGTACTGGGCAATAGCTCAGCCAGAAACAAGAGACTGGGGTGCAGGAAAAGATGAAGAATGCCTTCTCTTCCAGCCAGAGTTCTGGCTACTCATTGACAAGTTTACTAGGCAACAAACTGATCTCCAGTAAAACACTTACTCTAACTTAACATCTGTTAAAGACATTCATACCCTTCTAGTTTAAGGGAGCTAGGTAAAGCCATGTTGTCTTGCCGTTACTACAGAACTGAATGAACACAAGGGCAGTTTCTGTAGCAGCAGGCTGAGCCACAGCAAGTTTTGTATGATTGTGAACCAGGAATGACACAAGCTCTGGATTTACAGCATTTCAAAGTGGCATACAGGGGATGGATTTGGCTTCCACCATCCCACCTCTCCTCTAGGCAGGAAGTTGCTATAGAGTGAAGCTCACACACACACAGAGCCCCAAGACAGTTAAGGTTTATAGCTGCCTGTTCAGGAACTCTCCACACAAGCTCCTTTGCATGGATTCAAAAAGCCATGCCACAGGCAACTACAGAAAGAATTATTCAAACCACATGAAGTTAGTATCTTCAAAATAAAGAATTCTTTACTTTCTTGCCAAAGGCTGCGTTTTTTCAAATCCTAGTAGGTTAAACAAACAAGGTCTGAAGTCCAAGCTGTTCAGCACATCCTGATATTACATTATATTCAACTAAAGACAGCCTCAGTATTGCAGCAAGGGGGCACGGGGAGAAGCAGCTGGGGCATACACAGGTTTTAATTAACCAATGCAAGGTTTGAAAATAGCAACTCCTTTCTCAGCCTGTAGCAGCTGAGAAGTCCTCCTGACCACCACCATTTCCCCAGGCTGCAGCAAGCAGAACTCTCCTTACACATACAGATGACAGAGGTAAGAATTCAGACAGATTCAGATCCCAGCCAACTGACTGTAGTCCAGTCAGTACAAATTATAAACCATACTCATTGCCACACCTAGGAAGTTTGTGCTTCTGAGAGGTGGTCATCTCACATTCACATCCTGCTCAACAAAACCATGCACAGAGAAGCTGGATCAGAAGGTTATGGCTGAACCCAATGGGGCAAATCAGTATCAGGTGGCTATATAGCAGTAATTGCTACACTGTACTACAGACATATGGTGTTGGAATCATATCACAAGTGGACCTATATAATTTTGGAGACTGCCAGTCATAATGAGCAAGACTTTTTTTTTAAAAAAACAGTTGACAGATAGGAAGTTGCACTACATTCTAGTCAAACCCAGGACATAATACTTTTAGGAATTCTGTGTTTACATTAGATAAAGACAGGGAAGAAAAGGGAGAAGAACTAAATAGGTTTAGCCATAAACAAACTGTAATGACAGATCCAAACTGACCACTGAGCTTCTAAAAAAGCTTTAATTTAAAATAAAGTTGAAAAAGACCTATGGCATACTGAACAGCCACCCCTTTCTGTATGTGGTTGTGAGGTTTTTAGTTTATTTTGAATAATCTGTTCACCTGCTATGGATGTTATACTGTTGCCAAGACACAGTGAAAAAATTAAAAGTGCAATCAAGATCAGAAAGCAAATTGAATCTGAGCTCTGTGAAGATCCTGGCATGTATATGTGTATTATGTTAGCAATGTATATCCAGAACTAGAGCTTTATTTTACAACTACATTAAAAACAAAATTGCACAGTTGTTCAGTACCTTCTGTGTTACAGATTAGCAAGGGGAGAACAACCAAATCAGTCTTTCAGTGTTATAAAACTTATCCTAGGAGTGCAGATAGCTTGCCCTAGTTGACTTGGAACAATTTGAACTGAAATGTATTAGGCTCCAATTGAAGCATTAGTGAATTGATCTTATCATTAGTATTTACTTCTACAGACAGATCTGTCCCCTCGCTTCCCTTACTCTCCCTTCCTGCCCCTAAAAGATAGGAGAAAATTAAAAGAAATTTAAAAATCCAAGTTCATCTGCTGTTTTGTGCTTATGTGCCCACCCACATTTGATCACAGTTTCATTAACATTTCATTAAGTCAGACATATCTTATTATATATTTTTATATGGCTTACAATACTTTCAATATAACTAAATTTAAGTAGCAGCATATTTTCCAAACCCACTGTCACCAGGTTCAGTTTAGACAAGACATGCAAGCCATGTACCATATTAAGTATTTTTAGGCATATCGAACCTAATTCTACTTCTTTTCCCAGTATGAATGGTGTTCCCTTACAACTCCTACTGAGAAATCTTCAATTATGTCAGACAAGCATCCTACAAAAGCAGTGTCCCTTGAACAAAGCAGACAAGTAAATATTTCAGTTTTGTACTAGGTAACTAACAGGCTTTTTGTTCCCATTTAGATGGAAAGAGCATACTTACTGCGAGGAAGAGCATGCAGTACATGGAGAACGAAGAATGGCCAGAGTAAAATGATAGTCTGGAAGAGAAGAGAGCAGACATCTCATTATTTTTCTTTTGCAACACTCAGTCTACAGTGATATTAATTAATATTACACAAGTGAACAGGTAAAATGCGAACACCTCCATACTTTTTCTTCAAGGAGGCTATCCAGGCACAACAGCCGTCACTCATGTCCAACAACAGCTTCTGAACAAACAGCACAGACTTCAATACTCAGCAGCTATCCTATTCCAGCATTAAGCTGACCTCCACATCAGGTAATAACTACTAGCCCTTTAACTGAAGTTTGAAGAGCAAGTAAACACATCCTCAAAGCTAGAAACAAAGTGTCCTTTAAAACAGTATATTTGTTTCATCTTCTTGACAAATACTGGAATACTGTAACTATTACAAATTTTAATAATTACTTATCTGATAGTCACAGTATGTATATGAGAACAAATAACACATCAACAACCCCAAATCAATTAGTTGTATTTGGTCACAATCAAGAGGCAGTAGTCAACAACTCCTATCTAGATGTTTATACCACATATACATTTGTTAAATGTAACAATTCATACAGACCACGATCATCTATCATTGAAGGGTAGCAGGGGAAGGCAGGAAGGCAGTTCATTAACCAGCCAACTGCAAAAGATGATACCTCATCTAACATTTGTAGAAACAGCTTCATACTCGGCTATCTCATTTAAAGACCGTCAACATTGCCTTCAACTTGTAAAGGCTTCTAGTGGGTCCAGACTGAAGGCTTCTAGTGGGTCCAGACTGAAGGGACTTGGCAGTTGATGGTGACAGTCCAGGGCACCTTTGGCAAGGTCTTCCCCTGCAGAGGTAGTTTCTGCAAGGAGCCGAGTATCACAGCAGTAAAACAAAACTCACATACTTCATCAAGAAAAGAAGGCAAAACAGAAGGACATTTCCAATTCAGTCTTAAGTGGAGAGACGAAAGAAACTGTACTTAAACTATTTTTTCTATTTTATGTGCAGAGCCTTGTAACAGTGCTGCTTCACCGGCTATCAGCTAGGTCTCAGCCAGGCTTCTGTGCAGTTTAGCTACATAACACAGCACTCCTCACTTAAGAGTTTGGCATACACAAACAAGGCCAACTTAATAAAAAATTCACAGCTCTCCAGGCTGCCCTCCACCATATCCAGCAGGTCCCTGTTTTGGTGCCTCAGCCAGGCAGAGAGCCGGAGGCCAAGGAAATTCCTGGTCTAGGAAACATTTCTACTCTTTGGACCAAGAGTAATGAAGGCAGCTCTGGCATGCAGCAAGATAATTGGGTTACATTCACTACTCAAATACCACAAAGGCAGCAATAAAGCAATCTTGTGCATAAGTGAAACTGCAAAATTTCCAGCATTAATTTGCAAGTATAACACTAAGAAACTGCATCAGACATCAGAAAAAAAACCCACATAAGTTTCCTCCATAGGTTTTAGAGTTCTTGGTTTATATTTGATTGAAAGCACTGCCGACAGCTTTCAGTTTCAGAGATATTAAATAAGCAATCTTGAAAAGAGTAAGATTACTTGCGTGTGTGAATATATATTTTTTTTTCACTCACACCTCCACAGATATTTTTCAATTCAGCTCTTAAACAGAAAAACTACATTGACAATGTGTTATCTTCAGATGTGTAAAATTCCAAAACATTAAGATTACATTTTAGCTAGACATCACTTCTCTATTTTAGTACTCTAACTCTTCACCAGTTAAAACCTCTGTGACAGAGTCCACTATGAAAACAAATACAACAAGCATTTTCAAGAGCTCTGTCTTTCAGAGAAACACGTCATCTGAGCCACAAAAGCAAAGCATGCTGTTCTACAGAACAGAAGATACAGAATAAGGAATTCCTGGCTCCTATATGCCAACATTTTATCCACTGACTCTGGGGTTATTCCTGTTGTCCATAAGATGAATTTCCTAGAATTCCTGAAGGCAACCTATTGCCAACTGAAGGAATTCAGAATAAGTGAGACAAGGAATAAATACAATTCTTTATTTTGTAATTCCTATACCATTTTAAAGGTGGTGTTGACTACCAGCATTCCTAGGTTTAGGAATGTATTAGCCCAATGTAACATTAAGAATGCCTTGTTCCAAGTTGAAGATTACAAAATTTGAATGCATTCTCATCAGGCATAGATAAGTATGCTGTACATGATTGAAAATGTTGTGCTTAGCACATGAAGTATTGCCAGAAATACAACTGGGACAAAGTATTGATCCAGCTTGTATGTTGTGCAACCCCAGTGAAATTTCTTTGGCAATACTGCTGTCTCTAGACTTCTTTAAAAAACATACATATTTAAAAAAAACAACCCACAACTTAAAACCCTTTCAAACACTAAGTTTGACAATGGAAAAGTTTCCCAACAATTCCTCAGCACGCAAACAACATCCTCCCAAAGCCAGGAGAACATCCTGTCTATCAAACCAGCCAAGCGGCTGCACAGCCCAGGCTTCTTTGTGATCATACGGCAAGTGCTGGCTTGCCATGAGCCAACATTTCAAAAATAAATACATTTTTAATTAAAAAAACAACCAGTATTTACTAGTCCCAAGAATGCAGAAGTATTAGTTGAAAAGACATTTATAAATAAAATGGTACAGACAACCCTCAAAACCTCTACCTTTCGCTAATGAAGAAAAGGCTAGATTATCTCAGTAGGAGTTCACACGTCAGATTTCAGGACATCTTTTTCAAATTAATATTAGAACAGTATCAAGTGAAACTGTAATGTCATGAAATAGAGTTGGTAAGTGCAAAGTCTTGTTTTGATTCTTTCCAAAATGGCAGAGTCTGACATCAAAAGAACAGCTTTGCAGAGATCCATGCCTTTTACTCCATCAATAGCTACTTCACAGATGACTTCTGATGTGAGGAATAAGGCTTCATTTTAACAGGAAAAAGCATAAGCTGTAATTATTTCTACTTGGGCAATATATTACTATCAAGTTAGAAGAATGCCTTAATTAGTAACATTAAACCAGTTTCAGGTCTCAGTTGAGGTCTAAAGTATACTCTCAGTTTCCAATGTATACAGTACAGTTGGACATCTCAAAAAGGTCTTAATGTAATTTAAGGGCTGTTTAGCTTTCTTAAAATTTAGTTTTGCAACAAATTTCACATGGTTTATGATAAAGACAAAAGCAAAGACACTAATTTTTTAAAAAGGTTGCCACAAGACTGATTACAATTAGTCACTACAGTTTGTTATTGTAAGTCTGCATTTTTAAAGATTACCTGGAAAAATTGCAATAAAGAGCATGTTTTTAGTAAGATCTGCCTGGCAATATTTTGTAAAGTACATTATTTCATAAATGAATTACTGAACACTGGAGCTCAGTAAACAAGCTTGATGTCATGTCTCCATATAATGTGTTTGTAGGGACACCTGAATAATGAGAAACATTAAGCAAAATGCAGGAGTGTGACAGGGAAGTAAATAGCCTTAATGAAACACAAGACTAGGAAATAGCTAAATACATATGGCACAGTGGAGCATTAAATGATGAGAAACTGAAGCCTTAGAAATGACAGTAGAAGGGGATAAACCAGAAGAAAGTGTATCTTGTGGTGCCACAATAAACCTGGCAGAGATTGAATGATAAGGCAATCTTCCCAATATAACTATTGAATTATGGAATGATGCCCTAGAGAAAACAGGAGGCCCAGCAAAACATTATGCAAATTCCAACATCAAAGCAAATAAAACCACCCACTGGATTAGCCAGCAAGTCCTTTCAATCCCAAAGTTCTCTGGATTCTCCAAGTTTGACTCAAAGCTTCCACTGACATCCATGTTACCCATTCCACTGATCTGGAGGGAGCAAGTGCCAGACAGAGCTGCAGCTCAGGATGTCTGTGTGGAGCAAGCCAGAAAGCTCCACATGCTTGTTAGGGAATTACTCCTAGAGGACGTGGTTTAATAAAGTGCTAGTCCTATGCTTAAACTGAAGCACCATATTCTTTAAAGTCAATTTTCTCTGCATTCAGCAATCAGCATGTTTTCACAGCACCCACTCT